ATTCTGATCACGCATTTCTATCCACTATAAATTCATCAGTAAATATGTTGTTTTGTTCGCTCTACTTAAGTTACTCCATCAACTATAGTGAAGGCGCAGATGCGCCATAACCTTATACTGTGCGTGAATTGAACTCTAAAAATCTCAAGCTCGTATCGTGCCCTCTTGGGCTACAAAGCTAGCCCGGATTTGTGCCTGAGATTGAAGATCGGAGTACAGGATAGTTTGACTGATGTCTGATGTGCGGTACTGTACAAACTTTTTTTTCCTATAATTTCAAAGCAGCAAATTCCCCTTGGACATACTTGCACCAGAAAGCTAAATTGAAATTTACGGGCCACGACTGGGCAAGAAACATCCTCTTGTAAACAGAGGCATGGATAGGGTCTAGAGAGCATGCGTTCGCCAGTGCTATTGCAGCATAGAACCCATAAAAAGTAGTAACAGAGCACTATAATTAATCATACTTAATAAAAAAAGATTTTTCGTTGCAGTCTCACGAACAAACAGTGGTCTACCAGGAGAATCTGAAACTGCCTCCTTTTTCTAAAAAATCTTGTTTCATTAGCAAACCTCTTTCCAGCCCTTCCCCAGACAGACGATAACAATGATTTTCTTACTAGGCGTTTTAAAAATGGGAATACGTTTTTACAGTGAAGCCTAAAAGACTAGAAGTGAAAACGCATTTTTTCAGTTGGTGCAAAGCTTTAATTTGAAAGCTCGTACGTTCTTTAGACTTTTGACGTAATAAAGAGGATAATAAAAGAGTACAGACACTGAAATTGCGGAGTGTGCTCGGTTTCGGTAGAGCAATATACGAATTTTCGCCATTAAGTTGAATAGAATGCACTGAACTGTCATCTTGTTCCACGAATTGACATCGATCCCCGGATCTTCTTGGTGGACAGCGACAGTATTGGGAACCATCGGCACGCTTCACACATATTCCAGCTTCACAAATATCTTCAAATATTTAATCCATGCTTATCTATTTTTAATGCTAGTTTGCTGATAAATCTGCATCTTCAGTGCAAGTGATTAATGTAATGTGAAGTTGAGTTTCAAACTTCGCTAACTCCTATTCGCTGAAAGCAAATCATAGTTTTTAATTTCTAAATAGTTCGATTTTTGAATTATAGTTCAATTTAGTTCAATTTAATGCTTTAGTCCAGAATACGGCGTGTGATTGGCAGCTTGAAATCAGATTTCCACCTGTGATCTTAGATCTAGAAGTTTGATAGTATGCAGCTCCAAATGAAGTAGGTCACAAAACATTTGTTGTATACTTTTAACTCGAAAAAGTTTAGCACTTTGGAAGCTTCCCCTGGTGAGCTCCTCTGCGTTTCGGGGGCAGAAAGCTGGTGAATCTGGCAGTTTGGTCTTATTCATCATGACAAACGGAATACTGTCAATATTCTTATTCTCTTCAACAACATTCTTTCCCTCCTTACTCAGCGGCAGTGTGGCAGCTTCGTGACTGCCTGCTTAGTTTAGCGGCTCTTCATCGATGGCGACAAGTCCCGACTGCACTCCTTCTTGGCACATAAGACGGGGTTCAACAAATTTGACAGCGGCAGCTCCGCTGCTACCTTCTTGTTGACTTTTTGTCGACTGTGACAGCCTGGGTTACTTCATCTACAACGACTTTATCGACAGTGCAGCCTCGCTAGTGCTGGATCCCGCCGATTACCGACTTGAGCAGGCAGAAGTACACGCGACTAGCTTCCTTCCATTTCCAAAGCGTTGTTCCCAACATCAACTTTTGGCCCTATTGTACGCTTTCGACATTTAGAGCTTTTGTCCCGATCGCCTATTCGAGAAATCTGTTTGCAATAAGTACGCCATTTCACTGGTCGTCTTGCGCTGCTGAACTGGTGGTTCAGTTTGCTGCTTGCTAAATCAGTGAGCTGTCTAAATAACAACCTCAGCACTCTATTCGCTCTGTCAAATTCTCATCGATTGTGCCAGACGACTCCTACTGGACGTGTTAACCATCTATTTATTTTTAAGCATGTACAGACATTTCAAAACTTCCAATTGACTGTTCTCGACAGTTAAATCAGCTCCGACAGAGCTTCCATTTTTGC